CCTGGTTCTATCTTCAATGCTTAACTTACAGTTCCGGTTCCAGTAGGCTAGCCTGTGACGCCCAACCTCACGCCCAGTGGACTTCCTGTTTCGGAGTGTTAGTGGGCCTGGAAGCGCGAAGAGGGGTGTGCCAAGGATTTTTGGAAAGTGGGGGTGGAGTTCCAGGTCGGAACTGGAATCTCCTGTGTCAAGTTTCAGGGGTAGAAGTGCAAGTGGTTCCTCTAGCTCAGAGTTGGGGTGGGCGCCGTTCCTGCGGCCGAGGCCGGGAAAGAGCCGGGTGCACGAACCGGGTGTTGCGGGCGTCGCTGTGGGAATGCTCGTACCTCTGTCGTCCGATGCAGAACTCAGGGTCAGAGTCTGACGAGGAGGACGAGCTGGGTTCTCGTCGTTCTCTCCGGGGAGGAGTCTGACACGTGGCCCCCGTCTGTTCCTACTCGTTGGGCTGCTGGCACTCCGGGCACGGAGGCCGGGGCCAGAATCGGGATATGGAGTCCCAGGGGTAACTAGCAGTCGGTGATACGGGAGGACGATGTAATGGGGAGGGAAGTTAGTTGTGATAGCGACGAAGCCTGGTATTGCTGGTGTCTACTGTCGGGATACTCAGGGATTCAGGAGTCCCGGTTGATTGCCAACTGGAAATCGCCCCTACACAGTCGCTCGTGTTCCGTTCGGCAGGGGTAATCAAGGCTCCGCAAGTTTTGTTGCCGTCTGATCCATCGCTGTCGGACTTGTTGCCGTCTGATTTGTTCCCTTTCCCAATATGCCCTGTACTCGGGATCTCTCAAGCTTTCGCGGTCGGTAATCCAGAAAGGAGTTTCGATCGCCATATCCGGATCAACGGGACTCGCTCACACACATCATGCCTACGTGGCGGATCGTAACTAGCCCCTGCATGCGTGCGTGTTGATTGCAAATCCGTCGACGAATTGCTGTCTTCCACGCGCGTACGCACTGGCCAACTAGTTAAGTCCTAAGCTGCGCGTCCCAATGGCGGAACAATCTATTGACTCGCTGGTCCGATTATGCATGCAGCCCCGTTCTCAGAACAGCCCCTCCCTAGTTATACTTTTATGCATCAAAGGAAAGGGCCATCAAACATTCGAAGAGTAGACATGCATTCCCCATAATTCCTGTAATCTCGTACACAGGTTGAGCGCAAGTGCTTGGGCTAATCCCGCGCAGTGAGCGCACCGGCCAGATCTGAGAGAGCTCAGACCCGTAGACCAATACATGCCCTGCAATGCCGAACGTTGAAAAAACGACGAAGTTAAAACCTTGCTAATCTACTGAACAAAACAAAATGAAAAAGCAAAGACAACTTGCGAGAAAGAATGCTAGATCGCTCGTCCCCATACATACATACATGCATCACAACAAAGAGATCTGAGAAGGTTCACACAGGAAATTCGACCGCAACAAAATTGGCCAACGTTGGAATCAAAATTTACATAGAAGGGAGGGAGGAAAAGACACTGTCCCACCATATCCCTCGTCTCTCTCTCTCTCTCTCT